CGGGGACGAGCGCGGCCGAGCGCATGCTGATCCCTGTCCTGCTCCTCCTCAGGCGGCGCTGGCGGCGGCCCCGGGACCCGCGGAAGCCGGCATGCTGGAGAAATTCGAGTTGGAAGAAGAAGGTGAGTGCCCCCCCGCTGGAACGCGCTTCCGTGTCTACGCCGGGGGCCCGGAGGGGCCGGGGCGCGGGGACAGACGGGGTTCACGCCCCGGAGGCCGCGGGACCCAGCCGCCCAGCGCCCGTCCGCCTTCGGGCGGCGCGCCCTGCGGGGGCTGGCGGTGGAGACGCGGAGCCGGCAGAGCGTGTCTGCAGTGGCCGCGGGTGCCTTTCGGTGGCGAAATCTCGCTGGGTTCTAAGGGGAGCCCGCAACCCGGCCATCCACACGGATGGTCGGTCCTTTTGTCCTTACAAGCCGAACTGGAATGAGAGCAAGGTGACGTGCAGTAGTAATTGTTTGTAATGCCACCATACATGTAGGGGTAACCCCCAGATTATGCCTATGGTCCGTACCTTTAAATAACACACACTGGTTCCCTTATCTGTACTTGTGAAAATACCCCCAGCAGGGTGTGTCTTCTTGTCTTGATAGGGAAAGTTCAGTAGGAAAAGCGGTGGCGGCTTAGCGAATTGGTTTTGAGTTCAGGTGACCCTGTCATTCAGTCGTTCCTGTCTTCTCTTCGCTCACTCGGTTTTTTTCCTTTTCCTGCCCCGTTTTCTTCTTCTTACCTGGATCTTATTTTGAAGCTGTTGAAATGTGGGGGGGGGGGGGGGGAGTTTGTTCTTTGGCAAAATGAATATTTAACGTGGATTGTGACGAGCTTTTACCTGGATCTTATTTTGAAACTGTTGAAATTTGAAGGGGGTGAGTTTGTTCTTTGGCAGAATTAGTACTTAAAATGAGATACGATGAGTTCAAAGTCTAAAAAGAAGTTTGTATAACAGGCTTGACAATTTGAGGAATTTAAAAGACCTCCACACTGTCTTGTGTTTTTCCGTTATTCGTTTAGTGAGTTCTCTTTTTTCCAAGAGTATTGATGGAATAAAGCTTCTGGAACAAAGCATGTGCCATGTGGATGCTGTGCCCTCTGCCAACTTTACTTTAATACTTCCGTTTATTTACAGTCAGGCAGTTACTTAAATAAGCATGCACAACCACTATGAGAACGTTAAGCCGACAGTATCAGGCCAATGCCTACGTTTATTTTATGTTTTAGAGTTCCCGCATTTCACAGACATGTTAGCCAGAAGATAACGTGTTCATAGTAATTATCATTAGAAGTCTGCCGCCATATTTATTATTAACAAGCAGTTACATGATACATTTCAGAATTTTACTAGGGCTTAATTTGCATTCTGTCCTACTGAAAAATAATCCAGTGTGTTCAATCGAATCCGCCTCAGTATTCCGTGATTTTATTATATTGCAGGTCAAACTTGGGGCACTGTCCACAGGGCAGTAAGGTGTGCCCCCCTTTCGTTAAGACTTTGAATATCTAAATCATAGAGTTTTCTTTGTCCCTGATTTCAGTAACAATGAGACTCCATTGCATTTAATCATTTTGCAGATTCACATGGGGGCAAAGAAAAGTAGAGAGCAGATGCTATTGGAGAGGTGCCATAGCTATGGTTTAGAGTATAGGCCCAGCTTCAGACCGTATCTTAACTTCTTATTAAGCTGTGTGACCTTGGACAAGTTACTTAACCTCCCTGTACCGTAGTTTTCCCATTCATAAGGTGGAGCTAATATCGGGGTGTTCTGAGGATTAAATGAGATAATCCACGTAATGGTATTTAGTACAATGTAAATCCACAGTAAGCACTTAGTACATGTTAGTTACTGTTACTGTTTAAGTGCCACTTACCATTGTACTGAACTCATGGACTTTTTAAGCTTTTTATTAATGAATCGTCCATAGAGATTTTTCTCAGTACAGGTTTGGAGTTTTTTTCCTTACTTGAGATTTATTAATTTAATTATGTTGCATTTCTCAAAGCAGATATTTGAGAAATATCTCTGTGCCTTATTTCTTTTGCATTGTTTCTGCCAAGGGAATGAATATAAAATACTAAACGTAAGCATCTAAGAAGAAGGAATTTCCCATTTTCACCCATCTGTTTTTATCTATATTGCTGTCATTACTTTAAAGCATACTGAATCGCACAAATAACCCTGTCAAATTTTTCTAGATTCTTAAGGAGGCAAAATGTTGTAAAGCAGTTGCTTGGAAGCTGTTAGCCAAGCTGGAAGGGGTAGTGTTGGCGTGGTTGTCTAAAGTGCTGCTTTGTTTCTTTTGAACTTTAGAGTGCTTATTCATCCAAAATACGGAAAAACTGAATATCAAGCAGAATCTTACATTTATTCGGGGGAACAATAAGTCCTAACAGTAGGACATGACACCTTTAAATAGTATCCTGTGAGCTGATGTGTTAGCAGCCTACATAATATTGATACATAGCAGTTGAATAGGTCGTCATTTAATCTTCCAGCTTCCTTCTTATTCACTTGGTGTCATCATTTGTGCATTGCGATCTGGACGCTTTCCTTAGATGGGGATGCATTTGATACACATGGAAACACGTGATTGCTAATATTTATGTTACCAAGTCTTTTCCTATTTCCTAATAAATTCTAACAGATACTCTGTTCGTTAGAAAGGCATTAGTGAAGTTGGCATAATCTCTTAAAACGTTAATTTGCTTCTGGGAAGAAAGAAGAAATTGTGCCTCTGTCTCCCATGTGTTGTCCAGGTCCTCTTTTGCCTGGGTTCTGACACCAAGTGCCCACCCACTTCTTCCTACCATCGCACCCTGACAGAGGGACCTTTCCAGAACGTGAATTGACAGGACCACTCCTTTACGGGAAAATCTTTACCACTTTCCTGGGTCTGTATATAGAATACATGCAGACTTCTCTTCATCTGCAGCCTCACCGCCTCCTCCCGGCCGTACGCACCAATGATCGGAGAGCTTTCTGTGCATAAGCCCTGCCAGAGAGATTTTTAAAAGGCAGATTCTAGTTCTGTGGGTCTGGGCTGGAACCTGGGAGTCTGCATTTCTGCTCAGCTCCCAAGTGCTGCTGCTGCTTCACAGACCCCACGCTGAATAATAAGGCTGTAGAACAGGCACGGGCAAACTTTTTCTGTAAAGGGCCAGATGGTCTCGGTCTCCGTCCCTGTCAAGGCTACTCAGCCTGCCCGTGCAGCAGCAAAGCAGCAACGCGGTCCAAGTGGCAGGGCTGCGTTCCAGTCAAACTTTATTTACAGAAAGAGGCCAGATTTGGCCCACAAGCAGAGTTAGCCAGACGCCTGTTCTGTGACCCTTCATGGTCTCGGTGCCTGAGGGTTTACATCCTTTGGAGGGTAAGACCTTCTCTTGCTCCCTTTTTCCACCTGCCAACCTTACTGCATTGTCTCACCCTCTCCAAGGCCGCTGCCTAAAGCCCTTCTGTGCTTCTCCATGATCCATCTTTCTCCTCCCAGCAGGTGATACGGTGGCACGTCCTCGGTGCTCAGCGGTGTTTTGGTATCTCAGTGACTACATTCAGGGTTTATGTTTCCATTACGGGAACGATGGGAGGATGAAATGATTCGGTATCTGCAAAGTGATGCGAGCAGTGCCTAGTTCATAGCAGTCGCTTTATGTGTTTGCGTTTCAAGTGTTTAATTATGTCAGCCACACCTGTTTGTTTTTATCAAGATTAACCGTCTTGAACTTATTTAACCACAGGGCCCAGCACCTTCGTAAGCACCTAAACGCAGCCAGTGAGTGCTTGCTCAAGTCGATGAGTGTTCAGAAACTTATTCATGATTAATAAATCTGTAATTCTGGCACTATATCAAGAACTTTACGGCCCCTGGGAACCACCTGTGTTTTCGCCACCTTCTTGTCTTTCCAGCTGTCGCAGACTCTCCAGTTTCTTCGGGCTTTCAGCAAGTCGCCTTCCTCCCAGTCACCTGTCCCCTCTCCCCTTACCACCTGCCTGCTTCCTTCAGTCCAGGCGGTCCTTTCTGTCCAAGCTGTTCCTTCCTCCCCTGCAAGGCATTTCCCAAAGGAAAGGCTTTTCAGAACTTGCCTCCAAACTCATTTTCCTAGCAAGACTGGTCAAGCTAGTCTGCACGATCAAAAATACGGAGGAAGTGGGGGTACAAGTACAAGCGAGGGGAAAGCATTATTTTTCAGTCAAGGATCTTGGAATCAAATCGTAGGTCCGGTTCCGTAATGAGGTAGCAGCTGTATTCTTGAATCATCCTTGTCTCTTGGGGCGCTGCGTGTGCTTGTTTTGTTGTCGTTGTGGGTTTTCTCGCTAGACCAAGGCCCAGCATTGGTGAACTTGTACTTTTCCTTCCAGCTTGAAAATATTACCTAAAGCAACCAGCAGCCGCTCTACAATAAACCGAAAATGTGCATTCACTGTAACTTGTTCATTCTCAGCTGGAGGATACTGCCCTGAAGTGAGCAAAGGTCGGTCCTTGTTGGGGGACAAAAAAATCTTAGCTATTACAGTGGTTTCTGGCTCTCCAAAGGGCCCCTGAATGGATATACAGTGTATCTGTGGTATTAAAGTTTCTTGGGGGTAGGACAGTTGAGGGGGGAATGTATAGAAAGGCTGGGGGGGATTATGAAAACAAGTTTGAGAAACACTGCTCTAACTTACTTAAGGGAGAATGTCTTCCTGTGAATTTGTGGAACCTTTTAAAGTATCCCCTTATCACTCAGCTTTGTAAGTGAGGCTCAGCTGGGTCCACTTGGCTTCTTGACTGTAGTGTGTGGGGTACTGACCTCTGGTGGTGACAGGCTTGTGATCGCAGTTTGCTTGCCGGCGATCATCTCGTGGTATTAGAAGGCTCTGCTCATCTATCTTCCAGACTCTTTCCTTCCCTACTGAGCTTGCATACTTACCTTAGAGAAGAGGTTTATTGTTTCTTGTTTGTAAAAATAGTTACAGCTTTATGAAATGTTTACAATTAAACATTTTCTGCTCCGGCTGACCCCATAGTTGAAAGCTTGCCATTTTTAACAGACTTTAGGTACACATCTTAAAGTCAGGCTTCACATTTGATGGTATCTTAGATTTGATAAGATAGAGTAGTTGTTTTATAGGCTGCGGAGGTTTTGTTATCT